AAGTTACGTCATTGCTCCTTCTGAAGTTCTTTCCACACTGCACAGATTTATATGGCTTCTCTCCTGTATGGATCCTTTTATGTCTCACAAGGGACCCATTTTCACAGAAGCTCTTTCCACACTCCACGCATTTATATGGTTTCTCCCCTGTGTGGACTCTTTTATGGGAAGTAAGTTTACTGTGTTGGCTGAAACTCTTTCCACACTCCATGCATTTATATGGCTTCTCCCCTGTGTGTATCCAGTTATGGGAAGTAAGGGAAACACTATGACTGAAGCTCTTTCCACACTCCATGCATTTATATGGCTTCTCCCCTGTGTGGATCCGTTTATGAGATGTAAGATTACTGCTATTACTAAAGCCCTTTCCACACTCTCCACATTTATATGGCTTCTCCCTGGTGTGGATCCTTTTATGTCTCATAAGGGACCCATTTTCAGAGAAGTCCTTTCCACATTCCATGCATTTATATGGTTTCTCTCCTGTGTGGATCCTTTTATGGGAAGTAACATGACTGCTTGTTCTGAAGCTCTTTCCACATTCCAAACACTTATATGGCTTTTCTTTTGTGTGGATCCTTTTATGAGATGTAAGGGAACAGCTTTCAGTGAACCTTTTCCCACATTCCATACATTGATATGGCTTCTCCCCTGTGTGGATCCAGTTATGGGAAGTAAGTTGATTGTTATGAGTAAAGGTCTTTCCACATTCTCTGCATTTATATGGTTTCTCTCCTGTGTGGATCCTTTTATGGGAAGTAACATGACTGCTTGTTCTGAAGCTCTTTCCACATTCCAAACACTTATATGGCTTTTCTCCTGTGTGGATCCTTTTATGAGATGTAAGGGAATGGCTTTCAGTGAACCTTTTCCCACACTCCATACATTTATATGGCTTCTCCCCTGTGTGGATCCAGTTATGGGAAGTAACTTGACTGCTTGTTCTGAAGCTCTTTCCACATTCCAAACATTTATATGGCTTTTCCCCTGTGTGGATCCTTTTATGGAAAGTAAAGGAACTCCTTTGACTGAAGCTCTTTCCACATTCTCTGCATTTATATGGCTTCTCCTCTGCATGGATCCTTTTATGTCTCAGAAGGAACCTATTTTCACTGAAGGTCTTTCCACACTCCATGCATTTATATGGTTTCTCTCCTGTATGGGTCCTTTTATGGAAAGTAAATGAACTCCATCGACTGAAGCCCTTTCCACACTCCATACATTTATATGGTGCCTCCCCTGTGTGGATTTTTTTATGTCTCATAAGGGATGCATTTTTACAGAAGCCCTTTCCACACTCCATGCATTTATATGGCTTCTCCTCTCTGTGGATCCATTTATGGGAAGTAAAGGAACTTCTTCGACTGAAGACCTTTCCACACTCTCTGCATTTATGTGGCTTCTCCCCTGTGTGGATCCTTTTATGGGAAGTAACATGACTGCTATGAGTAAAGGTCTTTCCACATTCTCTGCATTTATACGGTTTCTCTCCTGTGTGGATCCTTTTATGGGAAGTAAGTTGACTGCTATGAGTAAAGGTCTTTCCACATTCTCTGCATTTATACGGCTTCTCCCCTGTGTGAATCCTTTTATGGGAAGTAACGTGACTGCTCGTTCTGAAGCTCTTTCCACATTCCAAACATTTATATGGCTTCTCCCCTGTGTGAATCCTTTTATGGGAAGTAACGTGACTGCTCGTTCTGAAGCTCTTTCCACATTCCAAACATTTATATGGCTTCTCACCTGTGTGGATCCTTTTATGAGATGTAAGGGCCCCTTTTTCATGAGAAAGACTGAAAGTCCAATTGTAACTTTTTCTATTGTTTCTGCATATAAAATCTTCTCCTTTGCTTTGGGTTGGATAGTGTTCATTTACATCTATTTTATCTTTGAACAGGTTTACAGTTTTCCCAGTGTATTTTTTCTTTATTTTTCCTTTTGGGGCAACAAAGTCTTGCATCTGAGCATCAATGGAAGATGAACTTTCCTTCTTCCACTTATTTGACTGGTTTCTCTCATGCCTTTGTACTTCTGTTTGAATTGCAGGCTTCTCCATTTTGTCTCCATGCCTGATCATTTGGAGTAGTTCCCTGGAATCTTTATTCTCCTGCCCATCATTACCTTCAAAGGAAAAGAGAAATGAAAATGATAATTGCTAAAATATATAAACAGGTTAAGGAAAATATGATAAAAGGGGCCAAGGACTTTGGGCATAATAAACAGATGGAACCATGGGACAATATGTGGTTGAAACGACTGAAAATTACATTGTTATAATC